TTGTCATCGTCCCTCTTCTTGTCGGCCTTCCTCTTGTCATCGTCCCTCTTCTTGTCATCTTCCCTCTCAGGAGGGAAGGCATAGGGAGGAGTCCTCGGCTGGAAGACATCGCCTGAGCTGCCCGGCATGCCATCGTCCTTCTTCTTGTCATCATCGGGCCTCGTGTCATCGTCCTTCTTCTCGTCGTCATCGCTGTCCTGCCCACGGGGCAATAGGTCCTCCACGGTCCACTCAAACGGCGGCAGAGGCGGGCTGTCATCGTCCTTCTTCTTGTCATCATCTGAACTCTTGTCATCGTCCTTCTCGCCAGCACTCTGCGCTGCCAAACGTGCAGCAAACCTCTGGTCCCTGAGCTGGCCGAGGTAATACCTGCCGAAAGCTGTATCCTCCTCCTCGCCCTGGGCAAGCCTCGGAGCCAGGCTCACTGCAGCAGGCTTCTTCGCCTTCATCGCCTTCATCGCCTGCATGGCTTTCATCGACTTCGTGGCAGCCTTCATGGCCTTCATCGTGGCCTTCATCGGCGGCTTGGCCTTGGAGGCCTTCGGTGCTTTCGTTGTAGCCTTCATCGCCTTCATCACCTGCATGGCTTTCGTCGACTTCATGGCAGCTTTCATGGCTTTCATCGCTTTCGTCACTCCAGCAGGCTTCTTCGTTGTGGCCTTCGTGGCCTTCATCGCCGGTGTGGCCTTCTTCGGTGCCATCTGCCCAGCCAGGTCGATATGCAGCTGGATCCAAGCCAGGGAATCCAGGGATAAGCCAGGAGACAAATAACCCCAGGAATAAAGCCAAGCTGGACCTCCGCCCGATCGTCGCAAAGAATCACCAGGAACAGGCCACCACCAGCCGTGCAGCAGAAAAAAAAGCAGCTATGCCATCAACGACACGGAAGAATTCCTAGGGAAAGGTTTTGGTTTCGGATCTAGACTGATGGGCCATGTTGTCACAGTCTGGTACTGAAGTGGTCCTGCACAGCACTACTGTCACCACATGCCCAACCGAACTCCGAAGCCCGAATCTTGCCCTAAACCCCAGACCCTAAGTCTGGATCCCTGAAGTAGGGTTTAGGGCGTTTGGGTGTGTTGATGACAAAATCATCGACCCCCTCAATGGCAAGCTTGCCAGGGCCACATGCAGCATCACATGCACACAACAATCAGCTGATCCTGCACAGCACTGCGATCCCCTCACTGCCAACACCCATCCACGCCTTCTGCGGGCCAGCTCCGGATGGGATCGAAGGCTCAGCCTCGCAAGCCGAAGAGCCACAACCGCCACAGTGCCAACCCCCCCGCCCCGCACAGCACTACTGTCACCACTTGTCAGCACGTGCAAGGGAAGCCCAAAACCCGAAACACACCAACCCACAACAACCCCAACCCTGCGGCCTTCTCGGTCGATTCATCTGGCTCCTGACATGCACAGAGGTTTCGGGGAGTTGGTTGGCTGCTTGGGGGTGGGGGTTCCCCTCGCTGCCATGGTCGACCGGATCACTCAAAGCCAGTGAGAACAATGAGCAAACCCACGCCCAAGCCTCCGTCGCCTGGTTCATGACTGCAGCCAGTGCCACCTGAAGACAAACGGACAAATTGCCAAAACTCCAGAGTGAGGCCCAGCATCCGATCCCGACCTCATCGATCTTGCTGCCATCGCTGTCCTGTCATGAAATCCGTCAGTCCCAAAATATCTTTGAATCCCCCACACCCTCAAAGGCCTTCCTCGAGGCCTTCGATGCCGATTGCTTGGCCTCGTCATGTCATGCAACCCACCAATCCCCGCACCCCGGGGCCGCAAGCTCACAGCCGCCTTGCTCGAGGATTGCGAAGCCGAGGCCGTCGAAGGCGCCGCCGCCTTCACGGAGAGCAGGGAAAGGAAAACCCTAGCAACCCTAAACCCCAGAGAAGTCCGAGCCTTCCGGAAGCCCTCGCCCTCCACGTCGTAGAGATGGGCTTCATCTTGTCCAGGCGGGACCTACATCAGTGGGGAAAACAATGGCAGGAATGGACAGCTAATGCAAAGCGCGACGGTCCTCCAATTTCTTCTTGGCTGCATAGTCCGCCGCCGAAACCCAGCTGCGAAATGCAGTGTTGTCGGCGGCAACCCATTTGTCTCAGTCAGACACCAGGTGACACAGGCACACACCTTGCCAACAAATCAACCGATCCAGTGCAGCCGGAGCTCAGATGGGCTGCCCTTTGTTCGGTCCAGACTTCCGCTCAGAGCTTTTCACCAGCCGCCAGCCATGGCATGCAGATTTACGAGGCATCCTGAAAGTGGTGTTTATCCTAAGACCTTATTTAAAAATAAAACCCAGTGCCGACCTAGTGGCTTACTAACCCGTCCCCCTCTGCCGTTACAGTGGCTTAAGATCTTAATTATCTAGAAATAAAACCCAGTGCCGACCTAGTGGCTTACTGACCCGTCCCCCGTGCCGTCATAGTGGCTTAAGATCTTAATTATCTAGAAATAAAACCCAGTGCCGACCTAGTGGCTTACTAACTAACCCATCCCCCGTGCCGTCATAATGGCTTCAGGTCTTACTTATACTAGGCCTGTGCCCCATGTTTGAGAATCTGATGTCCTAGGCATGCCTGCACACCATGGCTGTGGTTTGGCGAGATAGTCGGTAGGGACAATGGGAATCTCGATTTCTTCATGCATGCATGACTCAGGGCAAAATGCCTGAAGCAACGTCGCGATGAATGCTCGACTGTCACTGGTGACCAAGAAAACCACTCCGACCCCCCCCCTGCCCCAACATACATGTGCAACCGACCTGTAATTGTAAAAACTTTTTTTTACAATTATGCGCCCCCCCCCCTCTTTTTACAATTATAAGGGGGTGGGGATAGTAAAATTTAATTTAGTCTACTCACCTGAGCGCACCCGGCTGCACACCTGCCCTGAAACACTGCCAGCCAGAAACCCTGCGCAGCTGACCAATCGCGACTCAGAGTGTCATGTAGTTACTCATGAGCTTAAAGTTAGGCTCACAGCCAACAGTGCAGCTGACCAATCGCAAGCGATAGCGTCATGTATCCACTCGGGAGCCTAAACTGAGGCCCTGCAGCCACCAGCTCACCAGCGGCTGCCCAGTCGGTGTAGAAGCAAGTGCTCACTCGGGCCAACACACGATGACGGCCGTGGGAACCGCGTAGTCGCTGCGGACGGCGAAGCGTCCATCCACACCACGCACAATGTAGGCGTGGCGGGCGGCGTGTTGCTCCACCGTCGTTCCCCCGGCTTGCATCTTTGAATGTTGCATCGGTGATCGCATAAGACCCAGTATCAGCGCGCCCTGCTGACCCTTTCCGATTGTCATGATCTTCTTGCAGAGGGACTTCACGGCCCATTGCTCAAGCTCGGACTGTACGACGCGAGCATAGAAAGCATAAGAGGGATAATCTTGATCGCCCCACGAATACGGCCGGACCATGTTCTCGTGCAGGATGTAGGCAGCCTGCAATGAATTCACACCGGGCTCAAAAAAGGCCTACGTCACCGTAGCACAAGCAAAACGTAACCGCCGAAAGCCAAAATGTGCTGTGGTGTGCGAGCTACTTTCAGCAAGGTCGTACCATGAAGGAAGGTGTAATTGTACCACTTCGCGCACCAGATATCCGGCGGGCGAACAGTCTCGACGTTCGCACGGAGGAAAGCGAACCCTGTGTCTGTCCAGGACTCGCACTTGCCGATGTCCACGCCAGCTCGGCCGAATGCTTCAGCAAGATCGTAGAGAAGGGAAGAGGGAGCGCGACACACGATTCCGTGAAGCATCTCCACGCGCTCTTCGAGCTTGACCGGGTCGGGCTCGAGGAGCGTCGCCTGCACAACCTCAGCGCAACTCAAGGGTCGCTCGGGATCGATTTTCCCGGATTCTCGAGCCAAGAACCACCAATCCTCATCACGCGTCTCCAGACTGGGAAACACATCCTCGGCGTCTGGCTCCTCCTGGCCCGGTCCTCGCAACTGCGCCTGGAAGTCGGCCCGCAGCCGCTGCCACGGGGTCCTCGCTTGGTGCCCCACCCCTCGCCGCCGCGGGTGCGTGTTCCACGACTCGCCACTCGTGTTCGCCACTCGTGTTCGCCTTCTGCATGTTCCACGACTCGCCACTCGTGTTTGCCTTCTGAGTCCAAAAGTGGCCGTCCCGACGTGGCTGCTTGCTCCAAGACTCGCCACTCGTGTTTGCCTTCTGCATGTTCCACGACTCGCCACTCGTGTTTGCCTTCTGCGTCCAAGAGTGGACGTCTCGACGTGGCTGCTTGCTCCAAGAGGTGCCGCCTAAGTAGGGGCGCTTGCTCCAGGACGCGTTGCCGACTGACTGTGCTTCCTGGCTCCAGGCGTTGCTGCTGCCCGATTGGGAGGCTTGGTGCCAGTTGTCGGTGTTCGCTTGCCAGCTATAGTCCGGCTGTGCCCAGGAGTCTGAGTGTGCCCCACGCCACGTGCTTGCGCAGCTAGCGGTCTCAGCGTGGCCGGGCGAGGCGCGGGCATCGCCATGGGCAGCGTCCAGGCGCCTCCACTGTCGCAGCGTAAGCCGAGGTGAAGAACTCCCACTGGATTCACTACGCGAGCGGCGTCGACGTCGATGGCTTCCCTGGCTGCCGGACGCAACCAGCATGTGTATCAGTGGTAGCAAAGCTTCCATCGTCAAAAGTGCGGCGTGGCTTCAAGTAAGCCTTTAAGGCTTCGAGCCTGGGCTAGGGCTTTGCAAGCATGAAGCACAGCGGAGACCGCTTCAGCATGGATATGAGCAGAAAACGTCCAGTAGAAGAAGACTGGATCAAAGCATGCCGGCGACAACGCAAACAAGAATGCACGCTGAGAATAGCAAATCCTCACGATATATCACATTTTGCGTAAACATAATGGTTCGGTCCCAAACGTCACCACCGGCAACTCACGCAGCACCCAGGCCCGGCCTGCTGCCAAAGTTATTTCTTCGGGTCAACAGGAAGGAATTCGGACGCGTCCTCGTCGAACATGACCGGTGTCAGGAGTGACGGGGCGCAAGCGTCGGAGCATCGGGAGTTTGGGACTTAGGAGCTTGTTTCGGGCTTGTGGGATTGCAGCTCAGCGGCCGCGTTTTAAATACCAAGAGTCGGTTGCTGAGGGCTCAGGACTCCGGGCTCAAGGCTCAGGGCTTTAAGCTCACACGGTGAAGGCGCCATGGCGCAATTCTGTGACGCAGGACCCAGGCCTGTAAATTTTCCGGAAATTTAGGGCTCTGGGCGTTCCGAGCCCCAGTGTACCACAAAGCAGTGAAGCGGGTGTGAACGGCAGGCTAAACAAGTTACGGAGCTGTCTGCGCAAAACTGGACCTGCAGCATGCGAACCTCAGCGATAGCCACGGCGACCCAGTCGCTGTCTGGCATAGTTCCGTGTTGCACGGCCTCAGGCTTCGAAGCGGGCCGGAGTTTAACAGTCTAGGTCAGGGGCAAAAAACCATCCCACTGTCCAGCATCCGTTGTCGTAGCCGTAGACGGGGAAGGAGGTAATGAAATTGAAGTCGGCGAAAGCGTCTCCACTGTCCATGTTTCCACTGTGTGCTCCATCCAGGGGAATCCACTCCCGTACAGGTGACAGGTTCCAGGGACGTCGATGACCACGGTGGCGAGGAAGGTGAGGTCGTAGTCGTCGAAGAGGATGAAGTTGCCAGCCATGCCTCCCACTCTTCCGGTGACCAACGGAGACGTTGCGACCAGCACCCGTCGCCACGTCTCCATTCTGTGACACCTTCCCATGGGTCAACATAGGGTCCAGGAGTGTCGACAGGACAGTGAGAACGTGGAGGGCGGCCTCGTAGATGACGGCGGTCAATGACACTCGCGACCCAGTCAATCACCTCCGGCTCAGCGATGAAGGTTGAAGAGGGCATAGAAGGGGAGGAGCAGATAGGCGGATCCGAGAATGGTGTCGTCAACGTCGATGACAACTCAGCATTCCAGTCCGCAATCTGCTGGGCCATGGAGATATTCTCATCCCAAGCTGAAAGAAAGGGTGGGGGGGCACAGCCAGAGTCCTCACCTGCATCGTGGGTCACGGGCTCGGCCTGACCAATATCGTCCCCATCTTCAGCCGTCTCGTTCCACGCGGAGCGCGAGGTCCCCGTGTTTCCACTCGTCGCCTGCGCCCAAAGTTCCTCTTGTTGGGCGACAGAAATGTCCTCATCCCATGCCGAGGACATGTACTCAATGAGCTGCGTGTACGTAGGTGCCGAGGGGCTCGTGGGCGGAAGTTGGCTTGGCATAGGCGACGACGAAGACGAGGCTCCAGTGTCTCCCATTGAAGAGGGGGTTGTCCAGCGAGCTTCCCAAAGGTGAGCAGGGCGGTCGTCGTCCTGGTCCATCGCAGCATTGTGAAGCGTAAAGGAAAATAGAAGTCTCCATCAAAGTCGCCCCATGTTGAAACGGCCGGGCGAAGAACGTCGAGGAAGTACGGTATCTCCTTGAACCAAATCTAGCAGACAACGAACATGTGCAAGATCATGCAAGTGCAGACATAAAGCTTTAGGGTTTTGAAGTTTGGGGTGGCTCAGCCTCCGGGCTCAAGACCCACACGGTGAAGGCGCCCTGGCGCAATTCTGTGACGCAGGACCCAGGCCTGTAAATTTTCCGGAAATTTAGGGCTCTGTGGGCGTTCCGAGCCCCAGTGTACCACAAAGCAGTGAAGCGGGTGTGAACGGCAGGCTAAACAAGTTACGGAACTGTCTGCGCAAAACCGGACCTGCAGCATGCGAACCTCAGCGATAGCCACGGCGGCCCAGTCGCTGTCTGGCATAGTTCCGTGTTGCACGGTTTCAGGCTTCGAAGCGGGCCGGAGTTTGACAGTCTAGGTCAGGGGCAAAAAACGCAGACAGCTGGCCGTTGCCTCAAAGGTGATGTCGCCTGAACCATCCTCGTCAACGTTGTCGAACTGACCTGAAAACCGAAGCTGGGCAAATACCTTACGCACCCGCTAAGATGTTTGAAGACCGCAAGACATATAAAATTTCGCAGTGCGCAAGATCTTCTACAACAGAGGCTGATGCATCTACCCACTCGTCCACCTTTGGGCGGTCGCGCTTCACGTTGTCCTCCTCTTTTCAGGAGACTCCGTATACGGCCGAGCCGCCGGAGGTCCTCGCATCAAGGTGAAATACAAAACAAAATCAGGGTTCTACGCCCGAAGCAATGGCCTCTGTGCTATGTAGCGAGGCTCGCAGGAAGGTTTTCCTGTTTGACTGCGACTGATGTTTGCGTCCTTCTATGTGGGTCTGAATCTACTGTAGAGCCTTAATAATTAGAGTAAGGTTTTGGGGCCCACTATACTATAGTTATAACATGGACCCCGAAGGAATAGCATAGGTATTTCTTTACGCTTCTATATTACACCCTAAAACCTAAACCCTCCACGTCAAAGGGATGGACATGATCTCTGTAAGAACACCGGCCTCATCTCCGCGGAAAGGATCAACTCTTCCTGGAAGCTGTAAGTCGAGTACCTGGCCGCATCACCATGACAAATAGCCCAAATCACCGAAAAGATCTGTGCTGTGATGGGGAGGCGACTGCTGCAGAAAGGCGAGCTGTGATCTTGGTACCATGGAGCTTCAATCCGTGGCTGCTACGTTGGGAATCCCACGAAAAAAAAGCCGGTGCACCATTGCAGAGCTTCAGCAAATCCACCGTGCCGTCAAGTCCTGGACAACACAAATCTGGGTGAGCGCTGCTGTAGCAACTGCAACAAGCAGAGTGGCTTGAAGGCACTTTAGGGATTACTGGTTTCGGGGCTTGCAGAAACCACAGCTAAGGATATTGAAGTCTCATAACCACCAGAAAACACTAAGGCACTCAGAAACTCCAAAGCCTAAACCCTAAAAAACCTAAAATCTTAACTGGGTTGCAATTTCGGGGCCCTGAAAAGTACAAGAAAAGTACCACAGCTTCGCGAGCCTCGCCGCTAAGCTTGAAAAAGTCCATGGCCGCAGCTCGAGATGCATCGCCTGATTCCTAAACGTGCGCATCCGTGCGTGATCTGATCTGTGAAAGCAGCATGTCCGTGAGCATGAAGTTGTTGCGAACTACTCACCATGTTCACCTGATGTGAA